ATTTTCTGTTCTTGTGTCAGTTTGCTGGGAATGATGTTCTCCAGATTCATCCATGTCCCTACAAATGACACAAACTCATCATTTCTGATTGCTGCATAATATTCCATGGTGTATATGTGCCACATTTTTCCAATCCAGTCTATCATCAATGGGCATTTGGGTTGATTCCAGGTCTTTGCTATTGTAAACAGTGCTGCAATGAACATTCGTGTGCATGTGTCCTTATAGTAGAATGATTTATAGTCCTTTGGGTATATACCCAGTAATGGGATTGCTGGGTCAAATGGAATTTCTATTTCTAAGGCCTTGAGGAATCACCACACGGTCTTCCACAATGGTTGGACTAATTTACACTCCCACCAACAGTGTAAAAGTGTTTTTTTTTCTCCACATCCTCTCCAGCATCTGTTGTCTCCAGATTTTTTAATGATCGCCATTCTACCTGGCATGAGATGGTATCTCAATGTGGTTTTGATTTGCATCTCTCTGATGACCAGTGACGTTGAGCATTTTTTCATATGATTGTTGGCCTCATATATGTCTTCTTTCGTAAAGTGTCAGTTCATATCCTTTGCCCACTTTTGAATGGGCTTGTTTGTTTTTTTCTTGTAAATCTGTTTGGGTTCTTTGTAAATTCTGGATATCAGCCCTTTGTCAGATGGGTAAACTGAAAAAATTTTTTCCCATTCTGTTGTTTATCTTTGTGCAAAATTCACACTCCATTGATCACTGAAGATTTATATTAAATTCAGCTTTATTCCTTTTTAAAACAGTTTTGGCAATTATAACTTTTGGAATTAATATATGACTTTTAGGATGAACATATGACTTTCAAATCACTGTGGCAAACCCTACTGTAATTTGATTAGTGTTAAATAACATCTATTTACCAATCTGAAAAGAACCAACCCAGGAACAATATTGAATCTTAAAAACTGTGAATATGATATATTTTTGCATCTATTTGAATTTTTAAATTTACTTCAGCAATGCTTTATACTTTTTATTAAGTTCTCGTAAATGTGTCTCTTAGCTTATTCCTATTTCATCATCTTTATGTTATTGCAAAAGCTACACATACTATTTGTTTGCCTGTTTGTTTTCTTACTGTACTGGCCAGGTGCTCCAAAACAATTGGGAAAGCAATATCTCTCAATGGATGGATATTACTGTCCTGGTTTCATTATGGTTTCACTATTAAATAAGACTTTAGCTGAAGATTATTTATACATGTCTTTATCAGAGTGAGGAAGTCCCCATTTATTTTACATTTGCTGAGAATTTGTATTAAATAATATTTCTGCATTGATTGAAATAATACATACATTATTTTCCTAATTTGTTAATAGTTAATGTATATTGATTCACCTTGTTATGTTAAACCAACCTTGCATGCCTTGAATAAATGTGACTTGATTACAGTCTGTTATCAGACATAATTTCTTAATATTTGTTTTGTTAAGGATTTTCACATCTGCTTCTGAGAGAGATCTGTCTTGAGATTTCCTTCATTGTAATAACTGCCTGGTTTTTTTAAATCACAATAATGCTAGCTCTTAAAATGAATTGGAAATGCTCACTTCTCTATTTTCTGAAAGAAAAAAAAAACTTGTGCAGTACTTTAAATATTTGCCTGAATATATTAATGAAGCCATGTATGCCTAGAGTTTCCTTGGCTAAAATATATTTAATTAGAAATTAACTTTCTTTAATAGATACACAGTTTTTTCTATTTTGTCTTGAGACAGTTTTGGGAATATGCCTTCAGGGAATTTTTCTATTTAATTTAAGTTGAAGAGTTTATTGGCATAAATGATTTCATAATTGTATTTTGAGATTCTTGTAATATTGATAGAATTCTTAGCGATGTTTTCTGTCTCATTTGTGATGTTGATAATTTGTGTTTTCTAGATCATTTGATCTAGAGGTGTTTTAATCTTATTGGTCCTTTCAATGAATGATGTTTTGTTTTTGTTGACTGTTTGCTATTCTTATTTATGTGTTTTTATCCTTGTCTTTATTATTTCCTTCCTTTTATTTAATATGAATTGACCTTTCTTTTCCTGGTTTCTTAATGTTCAAACTTACATTATTGATCTTAAACCTATCTTCTTTTCTAATCAAGTCATTTGAAGCTATAGATTTTTCTCCAAGCAGTACTTTAGCTTAGTTCCCCACATTTTACCTAAATATAATAAAGTCATCGTATATTAGAAATTATTCATAATTATTTAAAAATTATTTTATCTTGCCTTATTTTGTATTTATATTGATTTAATTATAAATAATACTATTACAGATTATTTGTTCCAATTTATTACTATTTTGGGTATTTTTTACGAAATATTTTATTGACTTCTTATGCAACTTTATTATGATCACTATGTTTGCTTTATTTTTATTTTATTTTATTTATTTTTGAGATGGAGTTTCGCTCTTGTTACCCAGGCTGGAGTGCAATGGCGCGATCTCAGCTCACTGCAACTGCCGCCTCCTGGGTTCAGACAATTCTCCTGCGTCAGCCTCCTGAGTGGCTGAGATTACAGGCATGCACCACCATGCCCAGCTAATTTTTTGTATTTTTAGCAGAGATGGGGTTTCACCATGTTGACCAGGATGGTCTCAATCTCTTGACATCATGATCCACCTGCCTCGACCTCCCAAAGTGCTGGGATTACAGGCTTATTGTAACATTTTATTGTCCAATATAAGGTCTATCTTGATGAATGCTTATGACATTTAAAAACAACATGTCTTCTGAGTTCTCTGTTGACAAGACCTAAAACTAGTTCCTTATATTTGTCCAGTTTTTTATGTTATTGTTGTTTGTACAAGCAAGAATAATTCCAAAATCCATTATCCATTATAACCAAAATCGAAGAGCCCTTTTATTTCTCTTGAACATTTAGTACTACATCATAGACATTTCCATGACTAACAAATAGCTCATAATCTTTGGGCCTTTATTCCAGAAACAGATGTATTTTACATGCTGAAATATTTGCCATATTAGTGGATGTGGAAGAAATAACAAGAAATTTAGATTCAGTCTAGAGGAAGGGGCTCTGGTGAAATATGGGTTGGAGCTGCAGGCTGCTTTCCACACAGTCACTATTGCCAGGTTGTCAGTCTGAAAAAAGAAAATCTCTTGCAAGAGACAGACAGCTAATGAAACAGATAATTCTAAAAACAGAGAGAACATCCACTAGTGAGTTACATGCAAAAGTTAAGGAGAAGAGAAACTAGGGAGTGCATAAGATCAATAATATCAAAATAACCAGACAAGGTTTAGTTGTATTTTGTTAGTAATTCTTGGTAATTTGTGTTGTAATCACTAGAGTTGTTTATTAAAAATGAACACCCAAAGGCCCCACCTGTACCATTTAATAAAAAAGAATGCTATCATTTGCTATTTGTCTTAAAGCATACCGCATGCTTCCCAAGGATTATCTCATTTAATTTTTATGGCCACATTATAGAGTAGTCCTTATTAAAAATCACCACTACAAAAACAACATGAGGCTTAGATAAGAACTTTGTCTTCTCCAAGTTCAGAGAAGCAAGAAGTCATGGAATAGTTGAGTCTCATGCACACTAAAGATTAAAACAGCTGGTTAGGGGTTTAATGAGATGAAGGTGACTCCAAGATGATAAAGGATAATGAATAGAGTGGGTGGGTTAGAATTACACAAAAACTATAGTCGGTGACAAAATTACAATTGTGTCTATTCATACCTGATCTGCTCTTCTTTTTGTTCATTCTTGGAAATAAATCAATGAGCAAAGGTATCTGGAAGCCAAGCTCAGTACTCACTCAGAAAAAGGACTTGGCCACAGAGCTTGTCAGAGTTTTAAATCAGTTGAATGGGATGTGCAAGATTCCCATCCTAGCAGGGAAGTAGATTCCCATCCTAGGAGGGAAGCAGATTCCCTACTGTACAGTTGAGGAAGAAGCTGCAAGTAGATAAACTTTGGTAGACAGGTAGCATCCTCATATACTAGAATAGGCACAGGAGGAACACCTACTGGGAAAGTGTCATGCAAAACAATTCCAGACCCCATCTGCCAGTGGCATGAATAATAGAAATGTTCTCCTTGCTGTGGTTAGCTTTGTCATGACCACTGAAGAGAAATGGATATGAGGTGAAAGGATCTCAGGGAAACATGTAAGGGGCTGTTGGAAAGATTATTCCCCTCTTGGCCTGCCACAAAGAACTATTTGTTAGGGAGACCATCCATTATTTGGGTTAAATACATGTGTATATGAGTCAAATATGTACAAGTCGCAATTACAGGATTGCAATTTACCAACTCCATAATTCAGGATTTTTTTATTTACCCTTTTTGAACTTTAGATGTTTGTCTATAAAATGAAAATAAGTATTTTCAGAGCATTTTGAATAATTAAATTAAATTAAATTATATCTAAAACACTGACAGTCAATAAATATTCCCCCCACCCCTTGCACTGTTTTAGAGATACAGTGCTTATAAATGTGTACTTTGCTATCACTGGCCAAAGGAAGATGTCCATGCAGTACATGGGTCTCTGCCCAGGAAATTCAGGAAGTAACAACTAAGTGCAAAAATAGTCAGGACTCCAAGATCAGAACAAGCAGTGCTTCCGGAATCCCTATTTCAGACAAGATTTCAACCTAAAATCAACTGTCACATGTCTTTGAGATATCTAGCTTGGATACTAAGTGCCAAGAACAAGAAACATGATTGATATTGAAGAAAAAAAAGAACACATAACAGCTGATTCAAGGAATCTTTTTTATCAGTGCAGAAGTGAGTGAACCTGGCATAAAAGGAAAGGCTGGCTGAGATTAGGGTTCCTTAGTTACTTGTTTCTGAGGCATACCTTGTCAAATGAGTTTGAAACTGTATTGGTTTTCTACTGCTTTGTAATAGATTATGCCAAAATTTAGCAGCTTTTGGCAACAAACATTTATTATCTCACATCACTTCAGTGGGTCAGGAATCTGGGAGTGGCTTACCTAGGTGGTTCTGATTCAGAGTCTCTCTCATGAGATTACATCAAAGTGTTGGCTGGAGCTGCAGTCCTTTGAATTGTTGATGGGACTCAGCTTCTCCCCAGCTGTTTTCTGGAAGCCTCTGTTTCTCACCCTATGCACCTCTTCATAGCCTGCCTAAGTGATTTTGTGACATCACAACTACATTCGGGGTGATGTCATACTACTTCTTATTACATAGTTTCTATTTTACACATGTGATTTTGTCTAAGCCTTTTGACAGAAGTTAGTCAACAAGTCCAGTGCACATGACATAAGACAGGACAGGTTTCACAAAGGTATTAAATCAGGGGACAGGGCCATTTGTCACCTTCTTTAAGACTGGCGACACAGGAATTGTGGTGCTTCATTAGAGTCTACTGTTTTTTCTTGATGTTGGTGGGGTGGGAGGTAGTTACAAGAAATGGAGCTGCGAGAAGGCTCAGATGCTGATGATACAAAGACCTCTAATTGTGTGTAGGTTCTGACGATTTAGCTTTTGTATATCAATGCCTATTTTCATCATCTGTGCACAAATATTGCAACCTCTGAATTATAGTTTAAGAGAAATTACTTATGTAATTTCATGTAAATTGTATGTTTTATGTTTTTTAAAAGAAAACATATTCATTGTTTAAAAAATAGGAAGGAAGTAAAATGCCTCTGTAATCACTCAGAGATAATCACTATTCATAATTGGATGAACATTTTAGACATTTCTAACCCATATAAACACATACAACCATATATGATGTGATTTTACATAAATTTACAATAACATTGCACCTGCTTGTCAGCAGTAAATTTTTTCACTTGATAGTATGCTGTGAGCTATTTTTCATGTCAACAAATATAGCTCTATACCATCATTTTTAGCGGCTGCAATGTGTCGAATTGCATGGATGTGCTACAATTATTCCTCTAATCACTTGTCATTTGATATTAAAATGTTTCATATGTGTATTTTTATAGAAATAACGTGTGTGGCCCAGCCTAACCCAAACCCAAATTATGATGCATTCATTATCGTCGCTTTCTGTCCCTCTCCATACCTTTTTATAATACATTGGAAATGTCAATGTTTCTCGGTTATTTGTGAAAGATTTTAAATTTTTTTTTTTTTAGGATTTCAAGAGGCCATAAAATGCAGAAACGTGTGAAACAAGAAGGTTTTCCTACTTTCTGAGTAGTGTTAACCTTATTAATTTGATAAGATCTAGAGCTTATACTCTCTCCATTCTCTAATCTTTACATAACACATTGAAGATACAAAGAGACATTTAACAGTCTTTGGTGAAATTGGCTCCAAAGACAAAAAAACTTAGTTTAAAATGCACTGAGCACCAAGCATTAGACTCCTGGCTGTACCTCGATTGCTCCATGCTTAATCCTTCCTCCTCATGGAAGTATATAAAAACTATCCCTAGATCACATTAGGGTAACCATATCATTCTCACCCAAATGGGACAATTTAGAGAGTAAAATCAGAAGTTACTAATAATCATATGGGACAACTGGCATAACCAAAACTGTCCCTGGCAAGCTGGGACATATGATCCACCCACATAGATCAGTTGAAGAAACTAAGACATAGATTGCTTATGTAAACTATCAGAATTCACAGCGAGTAAATTAAACATTGCCTGTTCTAGATCCAGTCCCTTATCATGGATTTCTGCGTTTCTAAATATCTTTGCAAGTCTATTCTCTTGCAGGTACTACTTCTTCCTGTTGGGTGGGATCTCGTGGACATAATTTTGTCCTTACTGGAAATGCTTACTTGGATGTGCGTGTGCATCCAATATACTGGATATATTTTATAGTTATGTATTATATAAATATATTGTATGACTATATATATATATATATATATATATATAAAATATCCATATATATGCATGGATGTATATACATATAAAGACATCTTTTTTATATATGGATGTGCATATAATAGGAATGTATTTCTCTTTCCCCAGATGTAACAAACTACTATCAAATACTTGTTTTTATGCTGTACATCTTCGGCATTTTCAAGGAATTCAGCAAAGTGCAGAGGGGTAGTTCATAGGTCCACCACTAGAGAGAGTGCTGGCCAAGAGTTTGTGTCTGCAGCCTGAAAGTTCAGTGCTTTGTGAAAAAGGAACAAGAGGTAAATTTGTTCCCCTATGTCTCCAAGAGAATGAGATACTTTTCTATACAGCAATAAAATCTTTTTTCTTTGTTTCGATTTTTCAGTTCTTGACTGAATTCAGCATCTGTCAGTAACTTTTGCTGCCCCATCTGTGTCTTTTTTTCCCCCGGAAACCTCTACTCTTTCTTCCTTTTTTTTCAGGACGGCCCCCTATTCCTCACAGGCCTCCAATCCAGTTTAAAGAGTATTTGGGAGTTTGTATGGCTGCATTGCCTTAGAAAAGGAGCCCACGTGGAGTACTCTTTACCTCCACTCTTAAGCTGATTTGGCACAGCGCCATCTTGAAACTGGACACACTACTAAAGCATGTGCTGCTCTGGGGACCAAGGGCCACTGACTGTTCTCAGCTTTGAGGGTCTGCTGTCATTTCATCACATTTCTGTGAATGCCTGAAACACCATGCTCTTGGCCGCCCACAACTTGGATCTGACAGAATGATCGATATCCTGGTATCCAAATCTACACAGTACCTCTACAACCTCTGCACAGGAACCTGGTGAATCTGCATAGAAGGGAAGCTGCTCAATAGTCAACCATGCACTGCACTTGATTTCCTGGAAAGACCACCACACAAGTAGCCAGCCTGCTTGTGTACATATAGCTTGACAGTCAACCCAGTGGTGACCTAACTCCCCACAGAGAGCTCACCATACAGCCTGTTATCCCTCCATGCCCACTTACAATCAGTTAGAGAACCAACCTGGTGTCCTCATACCAAAAAACTCCATGTCACCAGTATCACAAACTTCTGCAGCTTAAATCATTGAGGCAATCCCAGACACCACCAATGAGAATCACAACTTAAGAAATTGTATGGAGACCACACTACTGAGTCCAACCAACACCAAAGCCAATGGACCATACCCAAACCACCCACAGGACCCACCTAAGATCTACTCCGTAAAATTAGCAAAAGCAACCCTTCCACTAGATACATAGATATCGACATCGACACATAGGAAAGATGAAAAAGGAAGGAGAAAAGGCATCCCCAATGCAGCACAATAAGTCTTCAGTAACAGACCTCAAAGATATTTATGAAGTGCTTGAAAACAATTCAAAAATAATATGTTAGGAAAAATCTGAGATACAAGAGAATATAAACAAAATTTCAATGAAATTAGAAAAAAACCTCACGATTTAAATGAGAAATTCAAAAGAGAGGTGTATTTTTTAAAAGTTAAAAAAAAAAACAGAAGTCTTGGAGCTGAAGAATTTAAAAATGGAAATATAAAAAATACAGTTGAGAGCCTCAATAACAACCTAGATAAAACAAAAGAAATAATTTTTGAACTTGAAAACAAATCTTTTGAAAAAAGAAAACAGAAAGAAAAAAATGTAACAATTTAAAAATAATGAAGAGCATATGAGACTTCTAGGACAACATTAAGCAAACAAATGTTCACATTATAGAATTGTCAGTGGGAAATGAAATGGAGAAAGCCTTGGAAAACCAACTTAATAAGATAATAGATAAAGACTTTCTCAAGTGCTGGACAGCTATAGGCATTCAGATCCAGGAAGAGTGAAGGCCTGTAGAGACATAAAACTCAAAAAGGTTTCCTTGAGGTCACATTGTGGTGAAACTGCCAAAAGTCAAAACAAGACAAAGAGATAATTCTAAAAGCTACAAGAGAAAAGCATGAAATCATATAGAGGGGCTCAATAGAAAATTATAGGCCAAGAGAGAATAGGTGATATATCGGAAGTGCCAAAAGAAAAAAGAAAAGCCAGACAGTAGTACTATATTCAGTAAAGATAAAATTGCCATCATGAAAATACATGAAAGTATAAGTAGAGATAAATGCGTCAATCAAACTCAGAATTATTCAGTGATATTAAGGTGCTATGTAAATCTTTCAGGCCTCTAGTATGAAGATTTAAAGTCAAAATGGTAAAAACAACAACAGCTGCAATTAATGGCATAGGAACACATAGTAGACACAAATGTAAATTAAGACAGCAAAAATATAAATTATGGGAGCTGTGGAGTCTAGAGTACTTTCATGCAACCCAAGTTAAATTGTTATAGGTTTAAAATAGTTTATTACAACAACAGGATTCTAGGTTCACCCCATGTTAAGCATAAAGAAAGAATTATTGCAGGTGTACAAATGAAGAAGAGAAGGAAAACAAAGCTGAGAATTACAGAAAACCACCAAATTAGGCCAATAAAGAGAAAGTCAGAGAGAAATGAAAGTCTACAAAACAACCAGAAAACAATTAACAAAATGAGAGGAATATTTCTCTACTTATCAACAATAAACATGAATGTAAATGGATAAAATTTTCCAACCAAAAGAGACAGAATGGTGAATAATTTTTAGAGACCTTACTATATGGTGCTTATAAGAGATTTATCTCACCCTTTAAGACAGAATGAAAGTGAAGGAATAAAAAAAGATATTCCATACAAATGGAAATCAAAAAGCAGAGGAAGTAGCCATACTCATTTCAGATAAAATAGACTTTAAACAAAAATGTTAAATGAGAGAAAGCAAGTCATTGTACAGCAATAAAAGGAACAGCTCCAAAAAATAACAAGTTTGTATAAACATATATATGTAAATATATACACATATATATGTGTAGATTCACACTCAAAACTGGTGCACCGAACTATATAAAACAAATATTATTGGATCTAAAGGGAGGGATAGACTATAATGTAATAATAATAAGGAATATCAATACCCCACTTTCTACAGTGGACCAAAAAATTAACAAACATCAGACTTTAACTGCACCAAATGAACCTAACATATATTTACACAACACTTCATCCAGCAGCTTCAGAATATGTATTATTTTCAACTATGCAAAAAAATATTATTCAAGATAAATGATGTACAAGGCCACAGAACAAGTAGTACAAATTTAAGGAGTTGAAATGGAATCAAATGCTTTTCTTTAAC